CCCTTGGAGATGAAGGCTACGACCGAAAAGGGACCGCACGGAGAATTCAAGGTCCCACGCGGACCACAAACGTTGTGCTGGAGTCTATGCGCGGTGCCAGAAACCAGAAATCAGCCAGGACGCTCCCGGACAAAACGCAGATCACAGACCTCAGCAGCGCCCCAACGTCTTCGTGCACGAGCGACGCCGCCAGGGAGATCCTGGAACTGCAGCAGCCGGACTGCGGATCAGCTGCATCACCTCCCACCTGAACCGGCCGGACTGCGGCTCGCTAGCTCCGCCTCCTGAGCAGTGGGCGGCCCTGGACAGCAGAGCGCGTAGCAGGGACTCACTCCAGAAAAATCGCAGGAAAAGACCAGATCCCTCGTCGCTAAACGGTGACGCGGTGTTCAAAAGTCATATGAAGGTGGTCGCTTCGTGGCCTGCTCTCCCCGATGAACGAAAGCGGACAAAGTGGTACCTAAAGTAAACCTTAACTCCTAGAGTTTACAACGGGAACGGAGAACCCAGAGAGAAAACACGAAACGTTAACCGGAACGGAGAACCCAGAGAGAAAACACGGAGTACGGATAAAACGCATGTGAAGCGCTCTTACACGAGCGATGTCATTTGTAACGTGAAAACGTGTTAACAAGTTAAAAGGCGATGACAGCAAATCGACACAAAATCCGAACGGTCAAACAACAAGTAAAACGGAAATCATAGAACGCAAATCATAGAACGCGAAACGTTAACCGGAACGGAGAATCCACAGAGAAAACACGGAGTACGGATAAAACACGGAAGTGTACTACGAATAAAACACGGAAGTGTACATACATGTGAACCGTTCTTACACGAGCGTGAAAACGTGTTAACAAGCAAATCGACACAAAATCCGAACGGTCAAACAACAAGTAAAACGGAAATCATACCGAATTGTACAAAGAGAAACGTCAAAAGTAAAGAAATCATAATGATGTTCGAGAGTAAAACAATGTCTACTAGTAAAAGAGGAACATGTACTAATGGAAGCGTGAAGAGTAAAACGTTAAACTAGTGAAGTAGACAAAAAGAAATGATTAAAGAGTTATTAACCAAAACGTTACAAGTTATACAACAAACTTGAAACGGTCCACGTAACGTAAAACGTACAGAGGAAATGATTTTTGAGTTTTTGTGTACGAACTCTCTGTGTTCTGTGTGTTCTCTAAAGCTTCACTGTATTACATTTTTGCACTGATTTTCTTTAATTTGGAACCACTCCGTTTTCTTTTCCGATCTCGGGGTGGCCCCCTACCCCCACTCTCCTACCACACCCCCGCCCCAGAGCATAAATACCTGGGCTGCTGTAGCGCTGGCAGCTCTGTCTGCTCAGCACTCTCAGAGACTCGCGTCTTCTTGGCCCCGGGCTGAAGCGATGGAGCAGCGTTTTCTGGGCGGCGCGATGCTGACTTGGGATTCCGCAGAGGCGGCGCCCGAGCCCCGGCCTCCGCCTATCCTGAGCACAGAAGACCGGGGGGCCCTCATGGGCCAGCCGTGACTCGGGGAGGGGCCTGCTTTCCGCTCCGTGTTGGCGGCTGCCCAGCTTCTTTCAGAAAACCGAAGACTCGCCCAGCGACTGCATCTCCGTGGAACCGAGGACGGCCGAGCTCACTGCGACTCTTCAACCGGGAATCCAGTGGAAGCAGGACGACTCCGCAGGAGAGCTGGACCTCGAGGAGGACGCCGACAGACTCTCGCTCCTGCCTCTTCCCTGAGCCTCGCCGCGACGCACCCGCGACAGACAACGCGAGGCCGAGACCTCCTTCCCGGGGGCATTTTGCAGCGGGCTTCTTTCGGACTGCTCCCCGTCTCTAGATACAGATGGGTGGCGCCACCATGCGGTTTTCTCGCGCTGCCAGGAGCAGATTCGGGGCGCGGCGTCCATGCTGTGGGGGTGCTGCTTGTGGATCGTTGGCGCTAAGGAACGTTAGATGGCAGCACAAAGTTTCTGGGATTTGCTCTGTGAAAAGATCTCGGTTATAAACCGTCTTTATTTGGGAATAAAAATGAATTAAGATGAGGTTTTTGTATTTCTTCTCAACTTTTTAAATTCTCTTTATCTTGACGATTCAGTGTTTACTTTATGAATAGTTATTACTTGAAGGTTTTCTATTTTTTAAAAACACATTTCTTTCATTGTAGATCTCGCTGTAGGATGGTATTTGAATCCTTTTAAACTTGGAGGGTGTACCATAGTTTCAGAATTACTGGCGGTTAGAAAAAGCAGGAGACTGAAGGGACCAAAAAAGGGAAAAAATTCCGGGGCATGGGTCCTGTAGGAGGCTGTGGCTAAAGTGCTGGACTTCCTCAGGTAAACCCAAATATGAGACAGGGACTCCTAGGCTTGAAACTCATGCTGTGCACCTGTGTGTGTTTCCCTCAAATCTCGGTGTAGAATGGAGAAAGGTTTGAGGCAGGACATTCCACCCCCTCCCAAGGCATCATTTCTCACTTTCTTGCCATCTCTCTGGCAAGTGCAACTGCCCTTTAGGGAAAATCTCTTTAAAAAGGAAAGAAAATCAGGCCAGGCACATGTACGTGTGTGCCCAGACTCTTAGGAGAAAGAAGTGATTGAAGTGTGGCCATCTCCTCTGGGGGTGATTTCTCACTGTCCTTCTTTCTGCCAAGTCCTTGTACCCTTTGTCAAAAACTTGAGAGAGAGAGAGAGAGGGAGAGAGAGAGAGAGAGGCCAGATCCCACATGGGATCTAATAGGTTTCTATCTCTGCCCTCAGGTCTAGAAAGCACACTTAGTGATTGTGTCTGCCTAACCCTAAGCCCTGACAGCGTGGGAATTGCTTTTATTACCTTGTGACCATGCCCCACTGGGGGGATGCTTTCTCTCCCTGTGTCTCAGAGTTAGGCTAGAGCACTGCCCATTGGCAAGGACAACAAAATGACAGACAGAACAACAACAACAACAAAAACAAAATAAAAAGAAAAGAAAAAAGAAAAAAAGAGGAGAAAATGAAGATAAGAAAGACAAAAAGAAAAAGAAATGGAAGAATAAAGAGAAAAAAAAACAAACCCATGGGACCAGTAGATGGCGTAAGGGTTTTGTTCCTGGACTCCCACATAGTCCACAGTAGTTGGAGTCTCTGACCAGGTGGCTTGGAACTGAGGACAGTGGCCGGGTGCGTGTGCGTGCATGACCAAAATCCTGAGAATATACTAGAGGAGAAGGGATTGCAGCATAGTTGTCCCCCTCAGGGGTGATTTCTTGCTGTCTGTTGTCCAGGTCTGCCGGACAGTTGAACAGGTTCCTTGGGGGAGGGAGTGAGAGATGGGACAAACACAGGCAAGCGCACACACACTATGAGGTGCTGATCAAGTCATCTTCTTCCGTCTACTTCCCTTTATTGAGGAGAAATGGCGAGTTATATACAGCTGGTGGGAACCAATTGGTTGCCCAAAATGTAAATGAGATAGAACAGCATGAACCAATCATTGATGTGGGTGGATCTCTTCCGTTGCCTAGAAACCCAACCACTTCAGGGAGAACAGTTGGTCACATGATTTCTGAGAAAGGATTTGCTCAGTGAGGAAGTGAAGCCTAATGGTTTCCAAGATGGCGGATAGCTCAAGATGGCTTCCGTATGCAGTGCTCGGCACAGTCTGTGTTTGTCTCAATCTGTCTTGTCTGCTAGCGCATGTGCCTTATAGCAAACATCTCTCTCATTAAAAAGAAAAACGGGGTTGGCAGGTGGCATGGTGGTTGGCAACACGGCCGACCACAGTTCAAGTCCAGGACGTGGGGGCTTTCTTTCTCACTTTCCCTCTCTCTCATTCTGTTCTCCTGTGATCAAAATGAATTAAATGAATAAATACAACAAAGTTAAATAAAATTTTTATATTTTTATAATTATTTTGAACTTTATTTATTTTACATATTTTAATTTGTCCAGTGAAGGACAGAGTGAGAGAGAAAGAAAGTGAGAATGCAAGCCGCCATGTCTGGGACTCAAACGGAGGTTGTCCATGTTGGAGTCAAGCGCCCTTAACCACTACAGGCTCCAATAAAATGATTCCTTTGTTTTTTGCAGAGGTTTTTGCTATAGGATGCATGTGTTCACCAGAAAGACAGAGACAGAAAGGAAGAAACCCCCCACTCCCAGGAAGGATGGCCACACCTCAATCCCTTCTCCTCCATTCTCTTCTCAGGATCTTGGGCATGAACGCCTGCATGCTTGATGTGAGTTTAAGTCACCGGGTCCAGGATTTGAACTGTGATCTGCACCACCAGGCCTGGGTCCATGGCTGCACTTAAAAATGTTATATTTAGAGAAATATATGATTCTAGAACAACCTCAAGTTGGGTCTCCTTACCTAGAGAGGAAGAACATTCTCTGGGCTCCTTTCCCAACCACACTTTGGAAACCTTGGAAAAGAAGAGTGGAGCTGGAGGGGATTGGCCCGGACTCCGGGATGTGATGAAGGGCGGTGACGACACAATCCGTGGAATTCCCAAGCCCCTCCCCCAAGGTGAAACAGGTCGGCGACACCAGCGAGGTGCACTGGTCGCTTTACTGGTGGCAGGGGCGCTCATAGGGCGGCGCAGAACGTTTTCGCGACAGCTGAGTGAGCGCGCTGTCTCCGTCCAGGACCGCGAAGACGCCACTTCTCCATTGCAGATCCCCGCGTTCCCGTGAGCTCCCTGGTCCATGGCACTGGCCAGCGGTCTCTCTGTCACTGCGCAGATTTCACCGAACCTCTCGGTCGCGACGCGGCACCTTTTCGTGGGTCGTCGGTTTATGGTGACAGCCCTCTGCTCCCACACGGATGGATTTCTGCCGCAGCGCCAGTGCGCCCTCGCGGGCCCTAGTGCGTGTTTCCCTCCCGCCCTAATCCTCGGCCGCCGCACAGCTGTCGCCCGGGGCCCGCATGTCCTCGGTGGCAGCACCGCTGACTGCCCGGGTCCGACGGTTTCCCAGTCGTCGTGCCCTGCGCGGAGCCGGCGTCCCTCGGTGGCTGGTCGGCCCCTGCGCGGACCCGGCGTCCCTCGGTGGCGGCGCGGCGGGAGGGAGGAGCCGTTTTCCGCGGACGGTTTTGCTGCCGAGCTGCGCAGGCGCCTTCTCCTTCCCAGCGCGGGCGCCACCAGCGCGTCTCGCCCTCTGCGGTTGCGTCTGAGCACCAGGACACCCCATCCCGCCTCCTGGCCCGTCTCGTCGCTTCGTGCCTTTGCTCTTCCTAGCAAGTGTGGAGGTATCGGTGCCTGGGATGTCTTCACCGTGTCCGTCGGAGATCCGGATTGTCCACACGTGATGGACTGAGCCAGAGCAAATCCCGATTGCGGAGCAATGCCGGTGTCCTCCACTCGGGGTTTCTTAGCGGGGGGACGTCACCGTGTAGCCACACAGGTCAGAGTGAGCCGAGCGATGGTGATTTCCTAGCCCAGCACGTCCCGGGGTGAGCGAGTTCCTAGTGGAGCGGATGGGGGGACTCGGGGCTGCGCGTTTGTACTGGTGCGGAGTTCCGGTTTCCTAAAGGCTCCCCCATGCGGCTTTGTCCGTGGTGCTTAAGTACCCTAGAAGTCCAGATGACTGGAATTGGGATAGCTCTAGGATCGGATTTTACCAGTGTCGTGTGCCTGGAATGTCTTGGTCACAAGAAAATCGGTTTAGCAATAGCGAGTCCCGTCTTCGCTGTGCTTGTGTTTAACCCCACAGAAGTCGGGATAGGCTGGCAAGCGCGGTTTGTCTGACAACGCTCCGTTTTTAGCAACAGTTAAGTCCTTATTTTTAACTCTCGTTGATGTAAGATGTTCGGGCTCCCAGGATTCCTTAGTTGTAGGAAAATGGGTTTAATTGTGACTGTCACTTTGTGTCGCTGTTGTTTGTGTGGGGGTTTCATTTCTTTTTATACTCTTAGCAACTTTAGGCTTAGGTTTAACATATGCTGGTTTAGATTGGACAGGGATATGTATCTTAATCACAGGATCTCACTGTTTAGCAGTTTTCATAATTTCTATTTTGTAGGATCAGTGATCACTAGGTTTTTCCATCTTCTTTTAAAAAAAGTGTATGTGTGTGTTTTGCTCTGGGAGCAATGGCACCATTGCCTTTGTTATTTTTTCTTTCTTTTTCTTTTTAAATTTCTTTGTTTACATTTAATCACATGTCTTTACAGTGTACAAAATTTCTTTTTCCAGTGCAAATGCAGTGCATGTCAGTCAAGACAAAGATATTACTCATACCTTATCATCAGCAAGTAACTTCTTTTTTTTTTTTTTTTTGGAGAGGTTTTCGCTATAGGGCGCGTGTGCTTGCCAGACAGACAGAGAGAGACAGAGAGATAGAAAGTGAGAAATTACTCCCCAGGGGGGATGGCCAATCCCTTCTCCTCCATTCTCCTCTAGGGATCTTGGGCAGGAAGGCAGGCATGCACATACGCTTGCTGTGAGTTTAAGCCACTGGGTCCAGCGACATAGCCATTAAGCTAACTGCTGTTGCCAGCAAATTACTTCTCATTTTTTGTCAATTAAGCGTACTTTTACTTGTTTTTCCTTCCCCTTTCCCCTCCCTCCCTTCCATACTAAACTTTTTTTTTTCACATTTTATTGATTCATGGTAGTGAACCTGTCTCATTGGCTTCCATGGTATCTCTCCTTCCTTATTTTCTTTTTGCTTTAGCAGGCAGGTTATCTCAGTTTAATGTGCTGCATCTTTTTTATTTTCTTTTTGTTTTTTAAAGAGAATCTATTTTATTATATTTATTTTAAAGAATTATTTAATTTTATTTATTATTATTTTTAATTTGACCAGAGAGAGAGAGAGAGAGACAGACAGACAGACAGACAGAAAGTGAGAAAACAAGTCACCAGGTCTGAGACTCTAACTGATGGACTATCTCTCTGATTTCAGCTTAATTTATAGCCCCACCAAAGTATCTAGAAGGATAGGGGAATAAATTTTTCCCTCCTCTACAATTCTATTATTGACTTTTAATATAGTTTCAGTTTATCAATGAGTATCCATACTTTAGTTTTTTAATGTTATAAAATATAACCATGCTTCATATAGTCTTTGGAACCATTATTTCCCCTCTGAATATGTATTGTTCATGTGTAGCCATATTTTAAAATATTGTTGTAATGTACTTATCTAGACTCTTGTAAGCTATTCCAGTCAGTTAATGTACTATTGCTATTTTCTTCCACTCTCCTAGTAATGACCTCGGCTCCTCCATCCCCAGAAGGATTTTGTTACTCTGAGCAGTACAGGTACTTACATTCTTTTACATGTTTCATGGTGGTATGTGCAAGAAGTAACACGACTCTGTGACTAAGGACTTTACCATGAGATGCTTCAAAAAGGGTAGTTTTGGACCAGCGGCTGGTGCAGAAGTTAAGATGGTTGGATTCCACATGACTGAGCAGTTAGAGTCCTGACCCAGGAACTTGAAAATCTCCCAGGTGGTGGTGTGTGTGGTTGCCCAAAATCCCAAGAGAAGAATGGAGAAGAAACTGTGGTGTGGTCATTCCTCTCGGGGGTGGGGTGTGGGGTGTGTGTGATTTCTTACTTTCTTTCTCTGTTTCTCTCCAGTGAGCAAATGTGCCCTATGGGGGGAAAAAAGTAAAAAATCTTGAAGGGAGAGGGAAATGGAGGAGAAAGGTTCATGGCAAGACCATTCCCTGGGTGATGATTTCTTCTCTCCCTTTGTTTCTCTATGGTAAGCACATGCATCCTCTAGCAATTAATAATAATAATGATAATAATAATATAGAAAATAAGTTTTATAATTTTGAACCAATAACATAGTGGGTCTTTTTTTTTTTTTGACATGAACAATAACCTCCTTTATTACAGAGCGAAGATAGGAATGTTTATTTTCCTTTCCGGGCTTTGATTTTCCTCAGGTAGAACTCCAGCTCCTTGCCCTCTAACAGGTAGCCATCCATCGGCACAGCCGCACTGGCCTGGTCTGAATGCAATGATAAAATGGGGAGATGTTAACATTGTAAGTATATGATTAGAGGATGGGACGAGAGATATTGAGAAACAGATACTGGGTACCATGTGTCTCTGATAATGGTCGAATAATTAGACTGTGTCAAGGTTTTGAGTGGTAGGCTTATAAGAGTTTACTGAAGTATTATAAACAAATGGATAAATAAACATAAATACATGCACTGGTTATTAAAATATGTCCTCAAATAAGAACTATGATTATTATCTTTTTAGAAATTATTCATTTAATTTTATTTATTCATTTATTTATTTTAATTTGACCAGAGAGAGAGAGAGAGAGGGAAAGTGAGAAAGCAAACCACCAGGTCTGGGACTCGAACTACAGTTGACCATGTGGGAGTGTCCAGCGCCTTAACCATCATGCCACCTGCTGGTCCCAAGAACTATGATTATTCTACTGCTCAATATCATGCTTCTACTGACCAATTTGTTAGGAAGGGAAAGCCCCTGTAAATGTTTTATACCTTCTTTTTCCTTTAAAAATCTTTTAATACTCGAAACATTTATGGATCAAAAGAATAATAAGGGAATGCGAAGTGTAAGTTGTTTGGCAGTTGTGGCCGAAGAAACTGTGTTGATTCAAACAAGTATATGAGTTTTATTCCTTGTCACTATTTTTCACTTCCTGTGCAATCTTGTAAAGCTCAGTAAGGCTGCTCTCTGAACCAGTGAGCTTCCAGAGAAGGACATGAGGTGCTTACTCAGCTCCAGCTCAAACAGCCACTCCAAGGAAGTGATTTTCTTTTATTTTCACAGTATGTTATCACACTTTGACTTTGCTCTGGAAATTAATTTCAGTTGTGTGTGTGTGCAAAAGTGAATGTAGCAACCTCATTCTCATTAGAATGCCTACTATTAAAAACATCATATAGAAGGCTAGACTGGTGCTTCAGTGAAATGCAGTGCTCTTTGAGGTTGGCTTACATCAGAAGGTCCTGGAGTTTTGTTTAGTGTATTGTCCTCAAGGGTCATCCACCTTGTAGCATGTGCCATTTTTGAAGCCTAGTTGCTTTCCATTGAATGTTTTAAGAAAGAATTGTTTATTCAATTTCGTTATTATTATCATTATTGTTTATTTTGACCAGAGAGAGAGAAAGGGAAAGTGAAAAACCAAGCTGTCAGGACTGGAACTTGAACTGTGGTTAACCATGTGGGAGTCCAGTGCCTCAACCACCACACCACCTACAGGCACCCTCATTGAATGTTTATATTCGGTTTTGTTTATCCATTCATCCACTGATGGAGCCTTGGGTTGTTTCTGGCTTTTGGCTTTTGTGAATAGTGCTGCTATGAACGTGAGTGTATAAATATGAGACAGAAGTTAGATCACTTACAGGTAGATAGGATAAGGGCCCCAAAGGAGATCACTATGTTATTATTATTTTTTAAATTGAAGTCTGTTTTTCCTTTATGGTCTAGTTAATGTACAATATATACCCCTTTTACGTGTCTCTAAAGAATTTATGACTCCTTGCTAATAAAACAGGAGATAGAGATATTGAACACATAGACAAGATAAAGACCCAAGATGGAGTCACAGTGACTGTCTTTTCACAGCCAAAGTTAGCTACATTGGGACTGAAAGCAACTGTAGCTAAGGGCAATGGTTTCTTTTACTAAGTCATAAAAAACAATGAGACCCTAACATTTGACAGAAAGTGGACAATTATGGAAGATTTACTGCTAAGTGAAGCAAGCCAGACTATGAAAGAGAGGAATTGTATGTCCCCACTTAATACATACCAAATGTCTACACTCTATGGCAGAAACAGAAATATTAGTAACTGTATTCTAAAAAGAAGTACAGAATGCTTAGTCTGCTGACTCTACAAAAAATAGGGCAATAAATCACTCAGACAATCATGTAACTATTTTCTAAAGACTTACTACCTTATCAAAAAGCCAGCCCATTTCTAGAACTGCTAAATAAAAACCCCTTGCCTCTAGATCTTCTTTGGCAATCCATTCGGGCCCCCTTCCAGTACACTGGAAGTTTTTTTATCCTTCCTTGATAAAGTTTGCTTACTATCCTCTCCATGTGTCTGCATCTCTAATTCTTCATGAGGGTAGAACAAGAACCTGCACAGGTGTTGGGTTTGATCACCCAGAAGTCCTGCATCAACGATTTCAATCTTGTGTATGTGCATATACCCAAAAGTGAAACTGCTGGAGGATGTGCTAATTCTATTTCAATCTTTTGTGGAACTGCCATACTCTTTTCCATAGTCACTGCAACATTTTCTATTCCCCCACCTGGGTACAATGGTTTCAATTTAGCTGCATGATTGCTAACTCTTGTTATCTTATGTAATTTAGTGTTTTTTTCTTCTCTTAAAATTTATTTATTTTATATTAATTCACTGTATATCACAGCATACAAAATGAAATTTCCCATCTAGAATACATTGTATATTGGCTTAATGAAGGATATTATCATACATGTTTTTAACATCTTTCTTCCCACAGACTTTCTTTTTTTTGGAGAGGTTTTTGCTATAGGGCCTGTGTGCTAGTGAGAAAGATAGAGAGGGACAGAGAGACAGAAAGTGAGAAATCATCCCTTAAGGGGGATGGCCACGCCGCAATCTCTTCTCCTCCATTCTCCTTTCGGGATCTTGTGCACGCAAGCCCACGCATCTGGTGTGAGTTTAAGCCACCGGGTCTGGGACTTGAACCATGGTTGGGTACATGGGAGTCCAGTGACATACCCATTACACCAACTGCTGATCCCCCCACAGACTTTCTTTAAAGCAACTGTAATTTCTTCCCTTACTTCCTATCTGTTACAGAATCTCCCCATTGTGACCCTTCTGTGAGTTCTGTCTTAGGCATTCCATGAATCCATTCAAATCTTCATTTAAGTACTCCTTTTTTCTTCTGTACTTTTTATGTTTTGGTTGGGGTAGATTGTTTTTAAGGGACAGCCTACTGGCTTCATGTCATTTATGCTTTGATAGGTTTTGGCTTATTCCCTTGAAGGACTCCTTCTTCATGTCTTCCCATGATGTTGCAAGGACAGACCTCTTTCTATGTCTGGTAGAAATTTGTACCCACCTGATCATAGCTTCATCAGAGGTACTTTACCTATCACATGTGAATACATCTCTCCTCTCAAGGTTCTAGGACCATCACCACCATCCATCTTCATGATTCTTTTCATCTTGTAAATTGAACAATCCGGGAGGCTCTGGTTGGAAAGTTCTTTTAATGTCCATGGCTCATCTCCTTGCTCCAACTTGAAGATCACTGCAGGTTTGGCAATGCAGTGCCCCCAAAACAGCAGGCTGCTGTACATCTCCAGCATCACACCCTTGTATAGAATCTTCTGAGCATCTTTCAGGTCCTGCCACTCCTCCCAGGTAAAGTCCCTAGCGACACCCTCAAATGACAAGGACCCCCAAAATGGATTCATTTTCTTAATCCTGGACAAGCACAGAGGTTTCTAAAATTATAGATTTCAGGAGCCAGCAGCAGTGAAACAGAGGTAACAGTAATCGCAGAAGGACCACATGTCTCAGACTTCTTGCTGCTGCCTTTTGCACATGCAGATGTGCTTTAGACCTTACCAGCCCAGTGCCCTTCCTCCATAAGACCCCACAGTGCAGGAGCGAGCTTTACAAAGAGGACCACTTTCCCAAAATTGATCAAAATGAAGTGCTATTTCTGTCACTGATACAAATATCCCATCAAAATTCCAGCGTTTTATTTTTATGGGAAAAGGGACCAAAAATTCTAAAATTGTTCCCCTCTCTGGTGAGTGCACATGCCTTATAGAAAAATATCTTCATCGCCACATCTGGCAAAGCATGGTTAGCACAATGACAGGTTTTCCCCAGCGACCACACAGAAGGAACTGAGCACCACAGGCTGAGAAAGAATCCAAAAAAGCCTGTAATTTAGTTTTTGAAGTTTTGTTTGTTAATTTGTCCCATGAATGAGAGTAACAGAGGGAGACAGACCAACAAGGACCCCAACAAGATCCTGAGGCTGCCATCTTCCCCAGCTTCAGCCAGCCCCCAATCATGAACAAACACATGCCAGGAGTACTCAGGGAGGTCTTATTCCTCCAACAGCCGGGATTCTCTGCGCCAGCTCTGCCGATGTGATGCTGTTAACCCACCACTATATGCACTGTGTTCATCGTGAGTTATACAGCACTGTTTTTATCCATGTGTTTGTTGGTCTTCAGAATGACAGTTTCCCTCATTAGTGTGAAAGGGAATTATATAATGAATTTTTCCAGTAAGAGCAG